CGCTGCCCGGCGGGTCTATGAGTCCGGAAAGGGCCTGTTGATTGTATTGTTGTTTTCACAGAGTATGCAGAAGGGTCTCCCACCAGCTTCGTCGATTTGGAATTGGCGGAGGGAGGAGCGAGGTTCTTCTCACTCTGGCGGAGGGAGGAGCGCAAGGGGAGGAGGAGGAAGAGTTGGCTGGAGAAGGAGCGGTCAACGGCAACGGGGAGGGTGAGGAGCGAGATTGCAGGGTCGTGATTTGCTTGCTTGATTGAGCTTTGTGAAAGCTTATCCATTTAATTCATCACCAATTAATGCCCAATTCCAGACCTGCTAGCTTGACGAGCTTGCTTCCCCATGTCCGCAACTTCCAATTCCATTCCCATTTCAGATGCTAGATAGCAATAGTGGATACGAACTTCACCGGCCAGCTGCTTGCTCCTATTATTCCGACAGCTGCTTGCTCAAGCAAGCTTGTCCACTCAATGGACCTGCTAGCATTCACATAGCATTTCGTTCGACCTCCCACCACCAATTCTTCTTCGCAACCACCCGTCGCCTCTGCATCCATCTCCTTCCCCCAATTCTTCTTCGTCGCCACCAGCCGCCGCCGCCGCATTGATCTCCCACCCCCAATTCCTTCTTCGTAGCGAGATTGAACAGAATCTTTCCCTTGTCCATCGTGTGTTCACCATTTGAGCGGCGATGGTGAATCTGAGATGAAGAAAAAGGGATTAATTTTTATTTTTATTTTAATTTAAAAATAATAACCTGATGTGGCAGCTGACGTGGCTGCCACATATGTGCCATATAACCAACAATTAACATTTTATGGTTGAGCGTTTGGTCAACCGTTATCTATAACGGTCAACAAAATTGCCAGAACATAAATAACACACAACTATCATACGTCAGGACACAAATGTCATATTGGATACTTTAGGACACAAATGACACATTATTCATAGTTCGGGTTTCCTAGTGGTATTAGCCCTAAATCTTAACACATCATTAACATCGAAAGTTCGGCTCGAGCTCAATTCTAAGATAATTTATAATATAAATACCCTAATATTTATATGTCATATGTGATACATGTGATTACCTAATGTTATATCATATATGAGACGTATTTGCTTACATATACTCAATGTATTAAACACCATATGAGGTGATATATACAATTTAATAATTATATGCATCATTAACAAACTAACTCATAAAATATAGATTGATTTTCTCATAATCCGTAGTCGAGTTGGCTCTCTAGTCACAATGTTGGGACATCTCATAAGTTCAAAACGAGACAGTTCATGAGTTGTATTCAACGAGCCACCTAATCGAGCTAATTCACGAGCTTCACAAGCCGAACAAAGTAGAGCTCAAACTCGACTCGTTTATTAACGAACCAAGCTTTATTTAATCGAACGAACTTTTATCGAGTTCAAGACCGAGCCGCTCACGAATAGCGCGACTCATTAATAGCCCTATAGTCAAAACATGATTGGAAGAAACTAAACGGCATCGTACGATTCAATGGAGGGGGAGGAAGAGGGGGAAACCCCAAAATAGCTGCCATTTTCGCAGAATCGCAGCCGCAATCGCCTCTCCCTCCGTGTTCGAAAGTGAGCCTCTTGCCTTTGCCCTCTGCTACTTGCTCTGCTTTCAGCTTTCTTCCTATATTCTCTACAGATTAACGCTACCCCTCTGCTAAGAATAATCGGGGTTGGAAATTTTACGACTTCTACTTTGAGGGTCGCTTAAAATTTTCATGCAACCGGCGGTATTCTCTTCAACAAGTTCCCGCCAGCTCTGCTTCCCACCATGGAAATCCGATGAGTTCCCCCGAAAACCCATTTCTCTGAATCTCATCATCAAATCCCCCTCCAAAACCTTGACTTTGACGCGCTCTCTCACCACCTCAATCAACTATGGACCCGAAGAAGACGTCGACAACACCGGTCCCCCGGAACCCGGACCGAAAACAGGACCAATTTCGCCTGCCAAGCTCCCCGTGGTGGTCCGGAAATCGGGTCGGGTCTCCAGATACACATGGGATGGGAGCCGCTTGAACTTGGAGAGCGTTGATGGCGGCGGCGGTGGGGCGGCTATGTGTTTCGAGGATGGATTCCGGCAACTGTTTCGGATTTCCGGGTTAGCACTGAGAAATGTGTTTATTCCCAAACGTGTCACTGAGAATTACATGCAGTATGTGAAATGGAAGCTCTTGCACAGGGTTTTCAGCTCTGCTTTGCAGGTTCTTGCCACTCAGGTAGAAGTCTCTAATTGCCTGTCAATTTTAAATTTGATGGGTTTTTTGGAAGCTAGGTTGGGGTTCTTGAATGAAACGTGTTCTGCTTTCTATTGATTTGCCCACTTGAATTGTGATGTTTGAAGTTAAATGAAATGGCTTGCGAGATGAATATCCATTTGTTTGTGTGTTGGTGGGTACTAGGCCATGTTTAGGGCTATAGGCATAGGGTTTTCTCGATCACTACCATCAGCAGCTGCTTTCAACTGGGTATTGAAGGACGGACTTGGTCGACTAAGTAGGTGCATTTATACCGCAAGCCTGGCATCTGCATTCGATACGAATTTGAAGGTACTAATAAATATGTAGGCATGGCAACTTGTGAAGGATTGAAGCTGCCAGTTCTATAATTTTCTGATCGAGGTTTGCCCTGTTTTCTATTGAATTGGTTTGTATTGTAGAGGGTCAGGTTCTCGACATCGGTTATGTTCAGCCTGAGTATTGGAGTTGAGATGCTGACCCCTGTATTTCCACAGTACTTCCTGCTTCTAGCTACTGTGGCTAATATTGCGAAACAAATTAGCTTGGCCTGTTACTTGGCCACTAGTGTAAGGACTCTTCCCCCTAAAGTTTCCTCACTTTTGCTATCCATTTTTCATGAGGTTGTTGTGAGAATGACCTTTCTCTTATGGCATATATATGCAGTCTGCTGTTCATCGAAGTTTTGCAGTAGCGGGTAACCTTGGTGAAGTTTCTGCAAAGGCACAGGTAATTGATTTATCCTGACTATTTGTTCTATTATTCTTCATATTGATCGAGCTGAATTGAGCTGTTATAATGATTCATATGGTTTACTGTGGATTTCAGATACAATCAGTGTGCTTTGACAGTCTTGGCCTCCTGCTTGCTGCAATCTTGAACTTATCATTCAAGAACAACCCGAAACTGCTTACAAGTCTGCCTTTTTTAGTCTATCCATTTTTTGCTGCTGTTGATGTCTTTGGAATATATCAAGGGCTTAAGCATGTCCATCTGCAGACATTAACTAAGGTATGTTTATGCTAGAACTGTGTATTTTGCCTGTGATACTGGCCATAGAGTTTAAGAACCTTACTCGTAAACATAAATGGTACTTGAATGATACCATTTAGTTCAGAGCAAAATTTCCTAAGATCTACACTTCAAACATTGTACAGGATAGACTTGAAATTATCCTAGATACGTGGATTAGATCAGGATGTGTGCCTTCACCTGAAGAAGTCAGTAAAGAGGAAGGAGTCGGTATCTTCAGAAGCAGAAGTGAGTCTTTTATTTTCGTTTACCACCTTTTAATCGCTCTGTTTTTTTTCCATCTGTTGTGCAGCCTATTAGTATGTAATCTGCTTTTGTGGTGGCCTGTTTTGTATCCTTACTCAGGGAAGCAATCATGGCCCATTAGAATTGGTAGCCTAACCGTTGATCAGCAGATACCAAAACTTTCAATGATGGCAATGCAGTCTTTAAAAAGTGAGGACTATTACTTCATTAGCGTGGAGAACATCCGTGGTGGGCTATTCCCACAAACCAGACAAGTATGCTATCACTCAACATTTCCCCAATGTGTCTTGGTCATTACGAAAACTTTTCCATGATATCTTTTTGCCTCACTTTTCCTCTTTTGTGTGACGACGAATTTTTAGCCTGGTTTTTTCCTTTGTCTACGTGAAGGAGCTGGCACTGCTGATGTGACGAAAGGTTTGTTGCAGGTAAACATAGAGATGTGGCATTGCATAATTTTTTAAGCAACCTTTGTTTTGAGCCCAAAACAACAACAAAAAACATCCTTAATTTGCACTCATTTACTAACTAGGTTCCTCTATTAATCATGCTTTGTAATGACCATGATACTATAATTCAGGCATGCTACATACGTAGAGCACTGCTCTTGAGCAGTAGGTGGGTGATTGCTGCTATAGAGAGCTCCCCTTCAGACTTGGTTGTGAGGGAGTGGTGTAAGCTATTGGATGACACTAAGGTAGCAGCAGAGAGGAGTTTGAATCTATTAGATGATCAGATGGCTGAACTCGGGTGGGCTCGCAAGAACATATTGCTCAGCTCAGGGGAACAAGCTAGGTACAGTTTTATAGATGACTGAAGCAATACATGAAAAAGATCATAAGTTTTTCACATGGGGATGAGTTTCGTCCATTTCAGACCTGAATCGAATGACTTGATATAGGACTGGATAGACGATGAAGGAAAACTGAGGAACCAGAGTTGGATGGAAAGTGTATGTAGTCTGCTTTTCTGTTGCTTTTACTATGGAAGACTGTTTCCTCGGAGGTATGGAATCAAACCCAGGTCCATCACAGGTAATTGGAGGCCTACCTGGAAAGCAAGTAACACTGTTTCAGCTTTGAGAAGAGTTTAAGGTGTCTCTCTGTTGTACAATTGGGGAGAATTTTGGTGGGGATCTCTTCTTGTAAGCTGTGTTATATATGTACTTGTAGAACAGCTAGGGTTACAGAAGCTGTTGTACTTTGTATAGAAAGACAGCGTGAACCACCACTTTCAATTGTAACAGTAGTTCTCAGGATCCTTGTTCCCATCGATGATTCGATGCTCAGCTGTAGAAATTTGAATGCCTCAAGCAAGTTGATGGTTATAGCTTATAAGTAGACCTACATGAAGCTTGTATCAAGGTTTACAATTGCAGATGAATATGTGGTTGAATCCGCCCAGTGCTGAAACTGAGTACAGTCATGCATTTGATCCTCTTAACCGCCATTAAACAGTCTGAAATTGCGATTTAGTAGTCATATTGTAGATTTTACACAGAAGTGGCACAACCATCAACAATTGAACTTTGAAGATCGCTGGAGCTGAAATCAGTTCTCATTTATGTATGCCCTGCGGCCTGCACTGTTCTATCCACGGCGGAGAGAGGAGAGTATTCATACAAGAGGAAGAAAGAAGAAAACAAGAGTTTCAAGATGCCAAAATCAACGGCATGAAAGAAATTTTTGTGTGTACCAGTAACACAGTCACAGGCCCGGCAAATCAATAACCCAAAGCTCTACTCCTATGAAGAAACCAGTTTCAGATTATTCTCTCAACCAATTTTTTTTGGAGAACTAATTCAAAATGGAACACAGCAACAGCAAAGTCTCAACATGAATACAGCTGATACATGTCCACTGGAAAAGAACCGCAACAAAACCAAAAAAACTCATGAACAGAGCCTTATGTAATTTCAACTAGCCATTGGGTGGTTATGAATGTACTCAATAGCAAGTTTGCAGGAATCGATCTTGTCGGCTTCCTTGTCTGGAATCTCGAGCTTGAATTCCTCTTCCAAAGCCATCAAAATCTCGACATTGTCCAAGCTGTCTAACCCTAGATCACTCTGGAAATGTACATCAGGAGTCACCTGCATGCACAAACGATTGCAGATAAAACTACTGTCATCAAGTTATCCAATACTAGGAAAAAATCAACAGTGGGTTTCATGCAAGCAGAAACAAATAACTAGATAAAAAGAACTCTTGTCCCCCAACAATACAAGACATGGGCAGTGACAATCAAACTGACATTCTGACTTTAATGATCGAGTGTTGCAGGAGCGAATGCAAAGTAGATTAAGATAGCCCCCAAGGGAGAGTGAACTAAGAATTAATTTCAACTCCCATGGACATCAGCATAGAGTCTGATGTATCTCTCCTCAAGAGAAAACCAGTGCATCTTTCCGGACCACACTGATTATGTATCGAAATTCAACAGTTCTGTGTGAATTAGGCCTTCCCCATCTATGTCTGGCAACCTCAAGGGTCAAGACGTAAAGTTGCTTCATTTAAGATTAACTAGCATAAGATCTTGCCAGAATTCTCTCAAGGGAGATGAGCTAGGCACATAATAGCAAGAGAGGCCAGGAGATATTCTTAACACAGTTCATCTGCTAACTGAGTCTTGATATTTGCCCAATGCCATCTACTAAAGGTCAATAGACTCACTGATTAAGGGCCGGTATCTCTATTGATTAATCCCATCCCACCCGCATCTAAACTATAAGATTCACGTCACTTCCTTAGGTCATCTCGACGATCATCATGGATCGGATCTACATCCTCATATGACTAGACTACAATTAATAACTTCATTAAAAAATGACCAGCCTCTAAAACAGCTATAAACCCTAGAGAGGCAGAAATGAAACATTTTGAATCCTAGTGATGATCGAGTGAATCCTAGGAAATAATCAACAGCGGGTTTCATGCATTGCAGAACCAAACAACTTAAAAAGACTGGAGATAACAAGAACTCTTCTCAACCAACAATACAATCAATAAAGCTACATGGGCAGTGACATTCAAACTGAAGTTCTGACATCAGTAATCGAGTGTTGCAGGACAAAAGCAAATGCAAAGCTACACAATGCAAAGTAATTTAAGATATCCACCAAGGGACAGTGAACTAAGAACTACTTTCAACTCCCATGGACATCAGCATAGATTCTGAAACATCTCTCATCTAGGGAGAATCAAAATGTTGTTTGTACCAATGCATCTTTCCGGACCACACTAATTATGTATCAAAATTCAACAGTTCGTGCGAATTAGGCCTTCAACATCTATGTTTGCAACCTCCAGGGTAAATTTGCTTCAATTAAGACACGAACCTTGCCCGAATACTCTCAAGGGCAATGAGCTAGGCACATAATATCAAGAAAGGCCAGGGGATATTCTTAACATAGTACATTTGCTAACCAAGTCTTGATATTTGCCTAATGCCCTCTACTAAAGGTCAATAGACTCACTGATTAAGGGACGGTACCTCTCTTGAGTAGCCCCTTCCCATCCACATCTAAACGATCAGAGAGTGAAGATTCACTTCACTTCCTCAGGTCATCTCGATGATCGTCACGGGTCGGATCTACAACGGCATATGACTAGACTTATAATTAATCACTTCATTCAAAAATGACCATCCTCTAAAACAGCAATAAACCCTAGAGAGGCAGAAATGAAAGAATCTGAATCCTAGCGAAATGCTATAACAAAAGGTGTAAGTATAAGGAACGGATCTACGGAAGTCTAGAAGAAGACATCGGGGGAAAGAAAGGTAAATCGACGGAGACACGGACCTTGGATGGGTCGACTTTAGGGAAGCACTTGACGACGGAGAGGACTCTGTCGGCGACATCTTCCTTGCTGAGATGGTCGTCGTGCGATGACATGAACCGGGTGGAACCGAAGAGGCTGTTGGCCACCGACGGCTGAGAGACTCGGCCGGCGGGGGATAGGGTTTGGACCGGAACCCGAAGGTGGCGAATCAAAGCTGCTCTCAACGCCATTTTCTCTCTCTCTCTCCGTTTGTGTTCAGACTTCAGAGTTAGTTGAGGACGGAGGGCCGAATTTATATGCAGACCTTTAGCACGATCTGAGCAAAATTCCCACCGTTAGATGTAGATGAGCTGAAATTTTGTGACAATTTGTTATATATATATAGGGTAAATTGCAAGGTTGGTCACTGGAAGTGTTATAATATTCACGTTTGGTCACTAAAAGAAGTTTATTCCATTCTCGGTCACTGAAAAGGTTAACGTTTCACGATTGGTCACTCTCCGTTAGTCTTCACTAACACCGTTAGTGATTTGATGACGTGGCAACTAGAAATGCTGATTCGTCCAATTTTGACCTGCCACGTCATCAAACTCTACCCGCCACCTCAATTTAACCCTCCATGTCAGATTCCCCAACCCAACCCAACTCATGACCCGACCCTTCTTATTAACCCATTTGACCTAAAACTCTATTGGCCCAAATGAAAACCCCATTCCGACCCAACCTCTGGTCCCTTCTTCTCCACCGCCATCAACCTCTAATCCCCCGTTGCCATCAATCATCGCAACGGGATTCAACAATACTAGCGCCAACCTCATCTCTGGCAGGCCTTCAAAAGCAGCAGTGAATGATGAGTTTTGCAACAATGAAGATCTAGATTCCCAGATCTAGAAACCCCGTTGACGGCGACCAGAAGGACATGGAAGAAGGAGCTTCAATCTTCCAAATCCCAGCCGAGAGGGCATTCAGTTTTGATCGCCGCATTCCAAACCACCTCCTAGATATGTGAAGAAGTCAGACATGGTCTTTTCTTCTCGAGAAACGGCGACGGCGGAGAGGCGAAGTAACATTACAGCTCCTGCTTCTTCCTCAAGGTTGATTGCATCGATGAAGAAGTCGGGGGTCAACAACGGAATCCTCCGTTTTGAGAGGACTAGCCACATCGAAGCCCTGGTGACCCTAATTAGGCATCACTCCTATTACATATTCAAAACCCGTATTCTATCTCCGATGCTTACGACCACGAAAGGAATGGGAAGCTCAATGCAGCAGTGAAGGTTGAGGAGTCGGGGACCACAAAAGAATTGGGAAGATGGACGCAACACTGAAGGTTGGGAAGCGGAGATAGATTCAACCTTGTTTCCTCCCTTCGCCATCTTTTCCCTGAATCTAGAATAAACAACAATCACTGCCATAGCTTGAAGTTCCTGGGGGATCTTTGGGATTTGGTGGCCGGCAATATAGGGATAAGAAGGGACAAAGGTCATGTCAAAGTGAGGCGAGATGAAGGAGAAAGAAGAGAGTTGGGTTGGGTCATGGGTTGAATTAGGTTGAGTTGTGTTGTGGTAGTGTGGTGGGGTTTATGACAAGACAGGTTAAGATTGGATGAATCAGCATTTCTGGTTGCCACATCAGCAAACCATTAACGGTGTTAGTGGAGACTAACAGAGAGTGACCAATCGTGAAATATTAATTACTTTCAGTGATTACAAATGGAATAAAATTCTTTTAGTGACCAAACGTGAATATTTTAGCACTTTCAGTTACCAAATGTGCAATTTACCCTATATATATATAAAAAACATTTGGTGACAATCGGAGTTGGAGTGGACATAGCCGGTTCGGTCTAAAACCGGATCGAATCGAAAATAGTGAAAAATTGAAATGGATAAAATTTTAATGATAAGTTGTAAGTTTTATTATTGGGATCACAAAAAATTTCAACGCTAAAAATATTTATTTCATTCCTAATTAGTTCAACAATGCAAGTTTAGTAGCATGTTATGTATTTTACTCACCAATACGCAAATTTGAGTGGCATGCGGTGTACTTTACTCTAAGTTTGATCAGTGACAGTTACTTTCTGCAGGTCTCTATTACAACATCAGTTATCTGCAGAAGTCAATCTCCATCTGCAGAAGTCGGTCTCCATCAACAACGTCATCAGTTATCTGCAAAAGAAGGCTGAACTCCTCTATCCATTTTACGAGCAAATCTCAGGACCCTAGTTCTCATCCAAATAGTTTCACTGTTACGCCATAAAAAAACTGATGAAGCAAGATCACGAGCATGTAATAGACCTACTTTCAGCTTGTATCAAGATTCAAGGGTTTACAATTACAGATGAACTGAATCCTGCCAAAAAGATGAAACTCGCTACAATCACGAAAAACCGAACACTTCTCACTGCTTTCCACTTCCAAATCTGTGACGAAGGTCTTTGGTAATCATCTATCAAGGGCAAAACAAATAAAACAGACAAGCATGGTATTGTGGTACCTAATAAGAGATAGCTTGTACATTCATATATCTGGCTTTTAACTTGCTTCATTTACACGGCCATTTTATGTACACAGTGTGGAGCAATTCCCAAACATGCTCGATCAAGGAGAGTATGAACTCGCTTCGGTGCTGTAGATAGAATACTCACTCAAGCTGAAATTTGGTCTCTCTTCTTCCCACTTCATGATCTCCCTTGCATACTTCAAGGACGAGTCCACGCTATCGGGCTCCAAAGCTTTGACCATCGAGACAAACAACTTTCGACCAGTGAGCGATGCATAAAGCCGCTTGAACTTCACAGCAACGTAGTGGAAACCCAGCTGGCCGAGCGAAGGGCTGTGGTTGATGTTGCTGCTGCTGCGGGTGTTGCTGGTCGAACGATGGTGGCTTATGATGGGATGGAAATCGTCAAACCACTCACATTTCGTCAGCGGAACCCGCTCCATTTTCCCCTCAAACACGTCGAACTTGTTTAGTAGCAAAAGGACGTCCATCTGCTCAAATGTCGGATGTGTCACGATGGTCTCAAAGAACTTTCGGCTCTGCATCATCTTGTTGGTGGGAGAACCGTTGATATCAAAAGAGACCTGGTCATAGTCGCTCAAGGAGACACAGAAGATGATCATCCCAATGTCTTCAAACATCTCTAGCCACTTGCAGTTTTCAGCGATTCCTCGTGGTTGAAGCCTGATCAGTTGGTATCTGGACAAACAAAGAAGGTTAATCAGCTAAGGAATAAGCAAACGATAGTAAGAAACAGAGACTTCCAATACTAAGGGTGTACACTGGTACGTCCATAATCAGATTGAACCAGCATAGGACTGGATACAAATAAAGAGAAATGACGAATCGAGTCAAATAAAAAACACTATTCGTCTGATTCGGTCCGTTTATCATGCGATTCTGTCCAAATAACGACTCGGTTCAATTCAGCCTAGCACAATATCCAGTACTGATCAAGTAGTCATTTCACATTTGGAGTTGGCTTGGGTGATCAATTTGAGCACCAAATCAAAGATGGTTCTGCTCAAACCCCTAATTTGGTGGAACAAACATATATCAACTCCAAAAACTTATCAATTCACGAGGGCACCAAATCCATGGTCCCTTGAACTTAAAAACATTTACACTGTGGGGTCCTGGCATTCATCCCTCCTAAAGTCTATTTTCCAGTCTTCATTTTTTAGATTCATGAGTGATAAGTATTACAGAGGTATTGAGGTCGACTTATCTTTTGAAGTCTCAATCAATCCATTTCAAGCAATCAATCATCTAATCCAGCATTCAAACACCAAACTTCGCAACTCATAAGTGTGGATTGAAAATTCACGTGTGTGTGCTACATCACTTTTAAAATCTAAAATCCAAACAACCAGCAAGTACTCCAAGATTCAAAGCAAAGACTTTGTGCTTTCAGGTATCAAACTCACCTAAGCAGAGAATCAAGCTGCTCGTCATGGTCATCATATGTTGACTGAGGAAATGAGAAGTCTAGAGAAGCCAAACCATTAGATGAAGTAACACCCTCAGCATAGAGGATGTCCAAATCTGAGGGTTCATAGTCTGGTACTAATATCTCAACTGCCTGTACAAAAAAAAAAAAAAAAACGAAACAGGGATTTTAGCATAAACAAACCGAAGAGAGATTATCCTATAAAACTTCCCTTTCACAAGTATAAACTTTTAGAGTTAATCTACACATGGGATGCTGAGGAAGGAAAGCATACCAGACCAATCAAATTTAAAACTAAATTCTTAACCATCTAAAAGAACCATTGAACTGCTATCATTACCCGCTCTAAGAAATAGCTAGCTACTTTAGGCAGCATTTCCAGTTCACTTCTTCGCTTGTATGTTGCTTGAATCGCTGAATCTCTCCACAACTCTTCAACCAACGGTGCATATTCTCGAGTGGCAGCAGGGAAAATTGCTTCCAGGTTTCCTGACACCATGGTCTTTAAAAGCCAATCTGAAAATGATTTTAGCCTCGGCCCAATAGTGTATACAGTCTTGGAGCTATTACTGCTACCATCACCTGTTATCAGCCAACAATATCGTTCAGCTTACTTGTTGATAATTTATTTTACTGCCACATGTGACAAATACAAAGAAATGTAAAGCTTACCAGTGGAATCGGTTTGATTTGACAATTGTTCTTTCTTTGCTTCAGACGAAGTCTCCTCTTCAAAACGGTCACGGCCTTCAAGGAGAATACCAAGATAACCATACACATTGCTTTGGATGGTCAACTTAATATTTTCTCGTTCATCCTCGGTGAAAGGAATGGGTTTGTAAAGAATCTTCGCCTGAAAAGACATTTCGTTCGATCAACTATGCTCTTCTATCAAAATATTTAGAGCTCACCAATTCTTCCTAGATAATAGCTTGTCTCACTACAGCCAGAAGATCCCTCTCCTACAGCACATAGTGAATGAAAGGTACAATTTGCTACGCTACCTGCTTGAAAATGGTACTTGTTCCAGATCCACTACATCCAACTAAGAGAAACTTTAGAAGTGTCCGCTGCTCGAGATAATCAGGAATACTTCTGCTCAGTAGGCTATTCACTTGCTCCTCGGAAAAATTAGAAGATTTCGAAGGAACTGGCAATGACAGGAATGTACAGACAAGCTTCATTGCACCCTGAAAAGCAAGTTTCCAAATAAATCAAAACCAACCAATGAAATTATATGTAGAAGGCATAATTTGAAGCACAACCACTTCAGCAGCAAACCATACCTTGCCCCAAATATAGCCCTTAGTGTTCTTCTGACCTTCTTCCTGGTATGACCCATCCTCATTCACCCAGAAATGAGGGTTGCCAGCACAT